GGGGGGGGGGAGATTTAGGTGGGAGAGGGGATACAGTAAGGGCAGGGGTTAAGATATGGAAGGGATTCAGGAGAACAGGGGGGGATTACAGTAGGGAAGGGGATTCAGGAACAGGGGTATCCCGTAAGGGAGGGGATATTATTTTGGATAGTTTATTGTTATTCTTCATTTACACTTTGTTTACAAACAAACTATAAATACTGTTTAAAAAAATCATCATATTTCTAATAATGTTAAAATATTATAATTACAGATTTGTTGATGGTGGAGGAGTTACAGCAACTATAGTAGACAGCAATATTAGAACTACCAACGGAATCATCCATCAAGTAGATAAGGTATTTTTTAACTTTAAACTTACGGATTTATTTATTTAATACTTTTTCATTCAAAAGATATGAACCGACAAAAACTCTTTTTCGAAAAATTATGTATAAGGGATCAAATTGGGATCGAAAGTCACAGCTTTCAAAGATATCGGCAGAAGTGTCAAATTCTCGTGCAGTAGTCCATTCAGCACGGTTAGTCATTGGAGGATTGGACTTTAGTAAAGATTTCATATTTTAGTCTTATTTATTAATTTCTGGTTTTCTGCACCTGAGATGAGATTTTAAAAGCTTAAACCCGAGTAAAACCCAAACTCGGGCTTAGATAGAACCCAGGTCAGGATTCCCAAGTAACAATTTTGCGGTAAATCCGCGGAAATTCCCAGGAATCTTTCACAGGAAAATCCGTTGAAAATGTCAACATCTATAACTCTATCCAAGGAATTTCTTGTAACCAATTCCAATGAATTTCTTGTTACCAATTCTGCTGAAAAAAAACGGAGAAAATGTCGACAAAATTTGTGGAAATTCTTGGGAATTTCCAGCGAAAAAATTCTTCAGAACCAATTCCCAAGATTTTCTCAAGAGTTCCTCAGGAATATCTTGAAATATTCTCAACATATTCCTGAGTAGATTCCCTAACCAGGACTTAGGCCCAATAGTAGTGAATAACTTTACAACTATATTGCCCCTCCAACTTTTTAGAAGTATAACTATCTTCTTAAGTCAGAATGTTATAGTCGTTTTTGATCTTACTGAAGTTGTCATGTATTTTGTTTAAAATTATTTAAATTGTTTAAATTTTAAATTATTTTTAAAAAAGATGGTTCTAAAGTAAATTATCATTTTTTATCAATAAAGATGCAAAGAAAAAAAGATTTAGTTAGATCAGTGCATAATAGAAAAGAATCTCAGAGACACCTATTGGAGAAAAACGGAACTTGAAAATTTTGTGATGAAGTCGTGAGAATTTCTCAGGAATTTCCGGAAAATATTCCTGAGAAAATCCTAGGAATTTCTTGAGAAAAATTCTAGAGAAATTCTGAGGGATTTCTAGAAACTTATTCTCTTATTTAATTCCCCTAAAAATTTGTAAACTTGGTGACCAAGTCCTAAGAATTTCCCAGGAATTTCCGGAGAATCATTCAGGAGAATTTCTCAGGAATTTCTGATGGGTGAAATTCTGGAGAAATTCCCAGGAATTTCTCGAAACTAATTCTCTTATTAAATTCCCCTTAAAATCCGTAAAGTTGGTGACCAAGTCCTAAGAATTTATCAGGAATTTCCAGAGAAGTATTCCGGAGAAATTCTTAGGAATTTCTTGAGAAAAATTCCAGAGAAATTCTCAGGAATTTCACTAAAATTACAAATAGGTTGTCAAGTACTTGACAATCTATTTGGAAAATTCAAACTTTATGTAGATACATTATTTTCATAGTATGTTCATTTTATATATTTAATAAAATTTGACTTTTAAAATCTCATCTCAGGCTACTTATATTTTCTTTACCATGTCATTTTTCATTTCCAAGGTTTTGAGTTTTATGAATTAATTTAACCTTAAGTACTGCGTGATTTTTAGAATTTAGAGCTAAACTAAGCTCTTTCCACTTAATAAAGTTCCTGAGTGCTAGAGTGATCATCAAAGTCTTTTAAAGATTGGAAACTCCGTGATTTTCATTTTAACTTTGTAATTCAAGGTGTAAAATCTTAAATCAAATATCGTTTTTTTATTTTACTTAAAGGGACCGTTCACTTATGGGTATTTTGAGGGTAAACTAAGTAGCTTATAGTTGTTCATTGGTATTAGTCGTCGCGTACTTTTCAAAGATATCTATGACCGGAAAAAAATCCAATTTATTATTCAGAATTCCAGCGCAAAGGTATAATACCTTTGCATTTACACTATCCGCAAATTTACAAGAAACCTCGCGGTTTAGGCAATAAAAAGTATTTATTTTTTACCGTTGGAGGCATAGTTTTAGAGCATCTATATTTTACATATACAGTAAAGTGTGCCCCCTCAAAAAATGATACTTCAGCAACGATTCAACGAAGTTTATTCAGTTTTTTCTTTGATTCCTGGTTCTATAAAACTGCAGAACACTTGTTTATATCTTTTAGATTCTAATCGTCTTCAATGTCTCATTCTTTGTGGGTAACTCTGTATAAACCCTTGTTTATATACAGTTTAACCCAGAACTCTGGAGACATCCAATGAATTTATAGAATGTCGTTTTCTAAACCTACTGATAATGGAATACTGCAGATATTTACTTTTTAATTGAATAAATATATGGTGCTCTGCTCTTTAAACTGTTCCCGCATATTAATTTATCTTTACAATTACCGAGATTTAGGTATAACCAAATAGGTTGTCAAGTACTTGACAACCTATTTGGGTATAACAGTATAAAAACAATTGAAAAATTGTCAAGACGACATTTGATAAATTCTTTCGATGTCTTTGAAGTTCTGGGTTAAACTATATTTAAATTCGAATTCCAGGTGCTCGGTGTCCCGCTTACCACTGTTCTTCACAAAATCAAAACAGACCCCATGCTGACGTGAGTAAGATTCCAAACTTTCAATAAATTTAGAAATTATTGATATTTTACTGAAATATGGAATCTAATGATCTACTAATCTAATGATCTACTGATCTCATCTACTGATCTAATGATATAATGATCTACTGATCTAATGATCTACTGATCTAATGATCTACTGATCTAATGATCTACTGATCTAATGATCTACNCACTATCAAGCATAAATACTCCTCTGCATTTAAGGTATATGATCACTAAGGATCAGGCCTTGACCACCATCAAGCATAAATACTCCTATGCATTTAAGGTATATGATCCCTCAGGATCAGGCCTTGACCCCCATCAAGCATAGATACTCCTTCCTATGCATTTAAGGTATATGATCCCTAAGGATCAGGCCTTGACCACCATCAAGCATAAATACTCCTATGCACTTAAGGTATATGATCCCTAAGGATCAGGCCTTGACTACCATCAAGCATAAATATTAAATACTCCTATGCATTTAAGGTATAAGATCCCTGGATCAGTTCATCTGTTCTGGATTACCGATCAAGCAACTATATTGCCTCAATTTGATCCCTAGAAATCTAAGAATGTAGGCGGCGGTCTGGGGGGTCCGCATTGGGGTCTCCTACAGATTCCATTTCTATATGTTCCTTAGGACCGAGATTAATTGATTTTTATTTATTCCACTGCTAGCTGTGTCTACTGTATAGTAATCAGATGAATTCTTTACTACATGATACAGGGTGTCCCAAGAAACATGACAGTTGGTAAATAGGTTTAAATGTTTCTTCCATAATATGTTAAGTTGGTTGATACCAAAGAGAATAATAAAAGATAGCAAATGGCATTCATAAAAAAGAGAATTTGATTTCAAAGTAAAACATATTTAGGTAAAAGAATTTTTTAACGAAATAAACTGCGAAAAGTCTTTAATATATAATACATTATATGGAAGAAGACATTCAAAACTATTCACCTTAAGTGTCATGTTTCGTGGGACACTCTGTACCTTAGATTAATCGGAAAGAAAATAATAGTTAACCAAATTCAGGTCCTTTTCATGGGTAGATTCTTCTATCAAGCACACCACATCTTGGAAAGACATATTAAGGTAATTTTTTTTTAACAATTTGGAAATTTCACAAAAACCTTTTTTAAAGCTAGTTGTCAAGCTTTAGAAGTTGAACTTTGAGGCAATTCAAAAGTCTTAACTTATTAGGTTATGACTTTAGTATTTACAAGGTATCAAATGATTCTTTCAAATTTTTCATGTTAAAGGGAGTGTTCGTGAAAAACGAAACAAATCATTCAGATATTACAACCAAAAGTCATCGATTTTTTTTCGACGCATTCGTTTATAGTTTATATTTCATAATATTTGTTATTTGTTTTATATACAACGCACTTAAAACAACTTTTTTCCGCTAGGTGTAATCATTTAAAGCATCGAGGGCAGAGACATCTGGCGGCAAACTATTTCAGCGTTTTAAGTGCATTGTATACTAAACGAATAAAATATTATGAAATATGCGTCGAAAAATAATCGATGACTATAGGCTGTAATATTTGAATAATTTGTTTCATTTTTAAATTGATTTTTCTACAATCCGAGTCGTATATTGCAACTTTCTGAATTTGTATGGACGCTACGTTCTTCAGTATAAGCCGTTGTTAACAATTTTCTCCTTATAGACGCAACAGATAGAAGTAAGATTAGTAGCGATCAAAAGCGATTATTTTTCGCCGTAAACCTATACCCCCTTTCATTTTCGCAAACACTTCCTTTAAGTCTTATTTTTGACTACACAGTGTCGGTCTACTTTTTTCTCTGCAGTAGGGCTCTTTAAGGACTCATTTGGAATCTATTTTCATTTATCTATTTTCTATTATTTATCTATTATTTATCTATTTTTCTATTTATGATCGATTTTTCAATTATTTATTTGGTTTTCTTTATGAAAAAGAAAAACTTAATTTATGTGATTTTAATTTTGAAAATTGATCACTTTGACGGGCTTCAGGTCTCGAGTCTCGACACTTTCCGACATTAAAGACTTTTCAGGTAGCTCTGGCCAAATCAATTGAAATTTTTGTGCCAGCCATTTTTAGTTAGAGTCGGAAATTTTTAATGTTAAGATTGGAGAGAAACTAAGCCTGGCTGATATACTGGAGAAGGGTTCAATGAGTACACTCCGTGGGTCCCCGCTCAAATTCTCTACAAGGATCATAGAAGGAGGTGGGCCGGATTCAAAGAGAATAGATTAGTATAGAGTATAATTAAGTCGAATTAAGTGTGAAACCGCCATTCTATTCTAATCTTTGTTCTGTGGTTGGATCGAATATAGCTTTGTTTACAAAGTAATTGAGTCTTTTCCACAAACTCAAATTTTTTAAGTCCAATATCAGTTCCTTTACCAATGTTTCGAACAGTTTATCTGTTCAGAGGAGGTTACAGTGGTCTCGTATGAGGATATAGAGGCCAGGGTGGTTAGAGGAGATCTAGAGTGCTCTAATGGATATATTCATATTATAGACACAGTTGTTATGAAGGTTAGTTAGTTTAATTTTATCTGACATATGTCAATGGAAATTTTAGGGACCTTCCATTTAAAAAGAAAGAAAGGCATGTCCGGTTTACAACGGTATCATTCAAACCTTTTTCTGATTAAAAATTTGGGAGATATTGTCGTTTTTTCATCTTAAAGTGTTAATTTTAATAATTTACTTCTTACTACTGAAGCAGAAATGTGCAAATTACTTTTACAGAGAAATTGAAACTGAAAATAATCAAATTTCAAAAAGTAGATAATATATATCTCATGAATCTCTGAATCAGACAAACCTTTTTAGGATACCGTTGTGAATGATACATGCCCCTCTGGAAATAGATATCACTTAATAACGCCAATAGTCCCTTAATTAAATGGTTAGGAAAGGAAATAACAAACCAAATTTTGTTAATTGACTAGAAGAAACGCTGTGACCTAAACGTATTCTTGTAACGTATTCGTGACAGGGAAAAAACATACTTTGCTTAGTTGTTTGTATGCCGTTCGTTTATCGTGAACTACGCTACCCATTTTGTTCGTTTTTTTCAATCGTTCAAAAAATTTGATTTTGTTCGTTCTTAAAATTATCGTTCATTTTCCATATATTGCGTTCGCTTTCTCGATCGTTCAGTAAAATATTTCGTTCATTAAAATCGTTCGTTCAGTTAAAAAACTATCGGGTTTTCAACAGTTTGTTCGAAAAAATTTGTTCTTTAAGTAAAATAATAATATTTTTTTTAAAATTTTGGTAAAAAATTTCGTTCGTTCAGTAAAAAAAAACTATAATTTTTTTCAATATCTTTTGTAAAACTAGTTAGTTTAGTTCGTTCGAATGATTTTAAATTTATTGTTCAAAAAACTATATCCATCTCTAGTCCTAGTGCGAATCTTTTTTACTTGATCTAGAATTTCTTTAAGGCTTAGCCGGAGATCTTAACGTTGATGGCATATACCTGAGCTGTATACATTCTCTTAAAAGATATTAATTTGTTTTAGAGACGTGATGTAACCTTGTCAGGCGGATGGGTCAGCCTACCTTCTCTCCTGGCAATTATATCCGCCCTACTTCTTTCTGCCATTATTCAGTAAACATGAGGCCTGCCTTATCTGCCAGTATTAGGAAAACATCTGCCTTTCCCGATGTGTGGCATCTTTTTCTCCGCCATTCTTGAGATAACTTCTGCGCTCTTTTGCTGTTCCCTGAGGATAAAATCTCATTTTCTTTAATTTTAAAGTGCATATTTAGTCACGGCGGTGTTAAAATTGCGGATTTTTATAAAGTAAATTAACCTAAAGCTAGAAATATATTAAATATTTTTATGCTTTTATTTATTCTCTAACTGCGCCAATGCTTCTGCAACTCCTTGAGGATTCAATATCTTATGATAAAATAATTTTCATCATATATATTTTTATCGTGATAAAAATACAACATTTTGACCATTTTATTTTAATTCAAGTAAGTGAGAAAATAACGAAGTTTGATCGTCTTTTTACATGTTTCCAAAAGAATAAAAAATCTGATAAATGAAAAATTTAAATATAGCAAAAATTTTGAATTTAAATAAATTTTTTTCAGAATTCAAACTCATCAAATTGCAATTTCAAGTTAACAAAACTTTGCACATATATGTCTGAAGCTAATCACGGGTACACTAAACAGTAGTTTTTGCAATTTAAAGCTTTACTTTCCACTGTTTTAAATGTTTTAATCTTGTTTTGTAGTCATGCTATCATGTATTTCAGCAGTAGTAAATAATAAAATATTTTCTAATTTCGTCTCATTTATTCTTTTGTTTTTACTTTTAAACATCTTTTCTTCTTATTTCTTTTCGTGTAAAATTTTGGGTAATTTAATTTAATTCGTTGACTGTTTCAGGCAAAACAATATTCTTTTGGGGCTTCAAAAATTCAATTTTTTTTGGAATAGGGAATGGTTGAACGGTTTTTAAAATTTTGATGAAAATAACCTCTGGTTATATGAAAATTGGTGGATTTTATGCTAAATAAGAATTTTCGCTACATATTACAAAAAGTTATGAGATTTATGATTCATTAGTAATTTTCAATCAGATTTATAAATGTTTAATTATTTTCCATCAGATTTATAAATGTTTAATTATTTTCCATCAGATATTTCTGACTTATTAAATTGTTTCCATTTAAGTTTTAAGCTTGGCAATGATGCCTTCAATTTTACAGAGAATTTTAGTATTTTCCAGGTTAAAGCAGCAGAAGCTTTCAAAATCTCAAATATCCATCCTAGATGTCAGTAAAACAAGTGGAACATTGTGAAATAGTTATTTTAGCAATATTTTCTTATATATAAGACTAGTATACACATTCTAACACAAATTTTACAGATTTTGGTAAATACTCTTGAAAACTGGTTTGAGTCAGTCAATCAAATCAAACACTCAAGCTAAACTGACAAGTTTATTACACATTAACTTGGCGAAAACATATTGGTTATCGGTAAAATAACCATTTTTTTTAATCTATATTTCTATTTTTATTGTGACACAGTAATTCTCCCTTCATAATTGTACATAATAACCCTCAAGCTGGCAATCTATTCATACCAAAAGCTTAACATAAAGAACTCCAGAGTATTAGAGTTTCACTCAAACTCCTCCAACCTTAACATAAAGAACTCCAGAGTATTAGAGTTTCACTCCAACTCCTCCAACCTTAACATAAAACACTCCAGAGTATTAGAGTTTCACTCCAACTCCTCCAACCTTAACATAAAGAACTCCAGAGAATTAGAGTTTCACTCCAACTCCTCCAACCTTAACACAAAGAACTCCATAGTATTAGAGTTTCACCAACTCCTCCAAACTAAACATAAAGAACTTTATAGTATTAGAGTTTCACCAACTCCTCCAACCTTAGCATAAAGAACTCCAGAGTATTAGAGTTTCACTCCAATTCCTCCAACCTAAATATAAAGATCTCCAGAGAACTAGAGTTTCACTCCAACTCCTTCAACCTAAACATAAAGAACTCCAGAGTAATAGAGTTTCACTCCAACTCCTCTAACCTTAACATAAAGAACTCCAGAGAATTAGAGTTTCACTCCAATTCCTCCAACCTAAATATAAAGATCTCCAGAGAACTAGAGTTTCACTCCAACTCCTCTAACCTTAACATAAAGAACTCCAGAGTAATAGAGTTTCACTCCAACTCCTCTAACCTTAACTTAAAGAACTCCAGAGAATTAGAGTTTCACTCCAATTCCTCCAACCGAAATATAAAGATCTCCAGAGAACTAGAGTTTCACTCCAACTCCTTCAACCTAAACATAAAGAACTCCAGAGTAATAGAGTTTCACTCCAACTCTTCCAACCTTAACATAAAGAAGACATTTCAGACTAGACTGGGATGACGGAGTAGTGTTTAAAACTTTGCAAGATTTCAAATTAAAATAAAATTAACTTGAGTTTGATGTGGTTCAGAAATTGATTTTATTCTGATAGATATACTGTGAATTAGACAATATACTGTCTCTACTCTCTACTTTACATTCTGTACAGTTCTGATGTTTTATTTTACTGATTTTTTCCTTGTTGAAAATACATCTTAATGTATTTCAGATAAAATGTTGGTTCTCTTTATATTGCTCTCTACTCTTATTTCTTCAGTCTACACTTGCCAAAGTGACGACATAGTGTTTAGGTCAACAATATAATCTTTGTTGATTTAAGTTAAAATAATTCGATTTTCTTCGAATTTATATTAATTCTTGTTTTGGAATTTGGAATAATAGTACCTAAAATTTGGAAATTGGAAAAAGAACCCATGATTTTTGGAATTTGATGCACTTCATAACCAAAATCATTGATATTTGTCTTAAAAGATGTAGTAAATTGTAATTATTGTATTTCGGCTTCTTACACCTTATCAACTAAAGCTATAATAAACAAGCGCGTTAAGCAGTTTTAAAATGTATATATCTAGGGCTACAAAGAAATGACTAGAGGTGAGGTAAAACCAAAACCTAAGGCATATTTAAAGTTGATGGTGTTTAAAAATGTTATGCATAATTTTACTAGGCATCTGTTGAGCTGGCAATCTATTCATACCAAAAGCTTAACATAAAGAACTCCAGAGTATTAGAGGTTCACTCAAACTCTTCCAACCTTAACCTTTAAAGAACACCATGATATATTCATATATCGGACAATTTTTTACTTCTAAAAATAACATAAATGTTGATTTATCTAAAACGATGCATAATAAGGAATTGAGTGATTGTATCAAAATCGTATTTATAAAGAATTAGCATTGTTGTAATACCGAAATAATTTCAATGGTCACAAAAAAATGTTATTCTATAATTGGTCTGCAACATTTCTGCAAGATAAACAGTAAAGAATGTCAACTGAACTTAGTTTGTAGACAATTGTATAATATTTGTGACTGCTTTTTTAAGAAAATTAACTCACAAACTAATAAAGCACAATCTAGCAAAACAGTTGTAAATTACTTTTTTTATTAAGGATTGCATAAAGTTTCGAAATTAATGAACAATGATTTTTTTCTATTTTTACACATTCAAAGTTATTAATTAGACTTTTCAGAGGCTTCCAACGAATCCAACATGTCAATTTTGTTCCAACCGGCTCGATAAATTTTTTTTTGCATTATGCAAAAAAAATTGTTGACCAAAGATGTTAACAAAACGGTTTTCAAAACGATTAATAAAATCTAATAAAAACTAATATAAGTAAACGTATCAAGCATTTTCTTAAACAAGATTGATATTTCAAATTTTTGAGGGAGCGCTTTTAAATTTAACATACCAAGAATGTTAGAAATGGATTTAAAACCAATGACCATCCCTAAATCTGTCAAACCAAAATTAAGATAGAGTTATAATTGTAGTATCCTTGAGGGAGATATCCTTGTTTTTCAACAGTAAAAATAGATACTTTCCGTCAAGTTTAATTTGAAAATGTCAATTTTCAAGAAGAAAAACAACAATATCTCTCTCTATTTTATTTATATCTAAAGGGCGACGTTGTGAATTTTGCTAAAGTATTTTTATAAGGATGTGGGGGCAGCCATTTTATAATAAATTTTGCTAAAGTATTTTTATAAGGATGTGGCAACCCCTCCCCCCTGTAATCCTGGATGAAGCTGGGAATCCTCTGGAAGGATTGAAGGTCGAGAAAAAAATTAAAAATATATAATTTCTCTTCTTTATATATATATTCTAGCTTGGGAACCCAAAGTTGCACAAACAATTTCGCGAGAAAAAATAATTTCGCAGAAAATCTCGCATTTGTTCGCATTTCGTTCGCTCGAGACAATGGCAAAAATTGTCGCATCAATCTGTTTCGCGATAAAAAACAAATGCCAAAAAAAGCAGAGAATTTATTAATTATGATTTAATAAAACTTCTAATGCTGAGCTTCGTGAGCAGAGAATTCCAAAAGATTTTTTTTCGCCATTAGTTGTTGCAACTTGGAGTTTTCGCAGAATTTTTTAAAATTCATTTTCGCGAAAAAGTTTACGAAATACGAACGAAAATTTTCGCATTTTTCCGCGAAAGTTTTCGATCGCTGGAAACCCTTTGATACTTTCATAAAAACTACTCGATATTAAGTTCGGATACCCTTTCGGTCGGGTTCCTCTTAGTCTGTTTTCATAGCATCTTGAGTAAAAAGAACTTTTCTGTCGTTTTTGTATAGGAATGTGGAAATTTTCCTGATCAAACCCAGTGTTGGGCAGAGGGGTGTATCGCAGACGACAAGGAGAAACAATTATCATTTTAACATTTTTCAAAATACGTTTTATGCAATGATTATTCATTACTGGCCGGAGTGCCCTGTATTTCCCGTGGAAATCACTTGAAAAAATTCCTAATTTGAAAAAAATCGAAGTTTTAAAAATAAATTTAAATTAGAATTTTATATATATATATGTAAATATAACTATCTTTTTAAAATCTAAATATTTATATAAAATCCGATAGTTATGCGTTAACATAATTCTTATGTTTGCAGATGGGTTTTTAGAAAAATTTATTTTAATTCAATTTAGAAAATACAGCTATTCCTATCTTTATATACATGGTGTCCCACGAAACATCTCAGTTGGTGAATATTTTAAAATGTCTTCTTCCATAATTTGTTAAGTTGTTTGATACCAAAGAGAAACATAATAAACATTATATGACAGTATTATTATAGTAAAATCGATCAAGATTAAAATAAGTTGGAGTAAAAGATTCTTCTACCGAACTTAACCGCAAAAAGTCTTTAAATCTTATCCAGTATTTGGAAGACGACGACATTCTAAACTATTCATTAACTGTCATGTTTCTGGGACACCCTGTATGAGTAAAGTATATAGATTTCTAAACAAAATTTAGTTTAATATTTAAAACTAACTTTCGACCGAATTAGGAGATTTAAAAAAAAATAATTAACAGAAATTGTTAAATAATTAATATGGAGGTTGAGGCTAACGATACAAAGAGATGCAGCGATTATTTTTGTTGGAAGGGATTCTGCTTAAACTCTGTGGAAAGAGGTGAAAATTTTTTTTAAAAAGTCTTTGGCAAAAAATTTCTAATTTGTAGCTAAAAGATATAAAAACCTAATTGGCTTCAAAAATCAAATTCGAAATTTACAATGTTGAAAACCTTTGAAAGTTTGTTATAGGAACATGTGTCATTTGTTAATATAAAAAACTTTTGTTGTGAAGCACGTTTTGCATTTTTTAAATGAAGCTTTGAGTTATGTATACGTCATAACATTGGTTTTTCTTGAAAATTAAGCCCATTGTTTGGAGGTGGCTGAACTGACCACCGCCGGATCAAATCCCGAAACCCCTATTCAAGTTCTCATGAATCTTTTTATTTGATTCGGTGATTCAGGATCTGAACAGGAGTAGCTAAAATTCATTAAGTTCGTTTTTCCATGGTTAGTCGTACAGGAAAGATTTTATGTTCTATAATTTTTAGAGAAGTATGTCGTAATCCCCTTTGGAAACCAGACGGAGACAAATTCAACACTGGTAGGCACGACCCAGGCCAGTGATAACAACGCCACAACTACAGATCCTCTCAACTCACTGTTTGATCAGCTTCAGGCGGACGAAGGAACATTATTAGTATTTTCCAGCATCAGAGTTAAAGATGATTAAGGTCCATCATCATGTCCAGTTCACAATGGTATCCTTTAAACCTTCAGCTGAGTTACAATAATGAACCTATTCTCCAGTTTCTTTTGAAATTGATAAATTTCAATTATTAATTTTCAATAAAGAATGATTTGCTGGCTTATTCAGCATAGACAAAGAAGAAATTGATAGAATTCAACATTTTGAAAAAGAAAATTTTTTACGTCATCCTTGATCAGAAAAAACCGTTGTGTTTCGGACATACGCTATTTTTTAATCAAGGGTCACTTGATATTATGTAGTACTTTCCCAACTGATTTTTCCCAAGGTGGCCACTTCCAATGGGGTTTTTCCCAAGGTGCAACTTCCCATATGTGCAATTTCCCAAGCGGCAACTTTCCAATTCTGTCTTAGACGCAGCCTACGGCCCCCAGCCTGTTCTAGCCGCTGCGCTCGGCCTCCCTTCCCATCTTAGTCGCAGCGCTCGGCCCCCATTGCAGCCTGCGGCGCCTTAGAGGGCCTAACCTAACCTTTGGGAAGTTGCACCTTTGGGAAGTTGCCACTTGGGAAATTGTCACTTGGGAAGTCGCTCATGAGAAAATGCCTTTGGGAAAGTACCGAACACCTTGATATTACGTCTACAGTTGCATGCACATAGCTGCAGTCCATGCTTAAAAACAGTGGCATCAATTTTTATGACAGGGTCAATTTTGAAGTGTCGCAACGCCTTGAGTTTGGATTTTACCGCTCAACTAACTTATGCTTTCTGTAGCTATTCACATGCATATTTTAGCACAATAGAGCAATTTTTGTTAGCTTTAGCTTCTAAAATGTAATTGGAAAAATTCTCATCGATTTTGCTTGAGAGCGTAAGACCTTTAGATCAGTGTAAACAGCACTTCTAAATAAACCCTGGTTTTTAATGAAATATTTTCGATGTTAGGTACTTTCCCAAAGGATTTTTCAAAGTGGCAACTTCCCAAGGGTATTTTCCCAAAGTGCAAATTCCCAAGTCTACCCTCGCCGCAGCGCTCGGCCCAAAGCCTATTCTAGCCGCGGCGGTCGACGTATCAGAGGGCATAACTCTTTTCACCCTAACCCTTAGCTTATAGTTCCATATCGCTTTACGCTACTTTAAATAAAGCCATTAGTACTTTACAACAAATTACATTATTTAGATTGTGATTAAAAAATTGTTGAAACACCTTGATGTTTTTTGTTTGTTTTTGTTTTTTGCCTATTTTGCTGTAGCAATAATAGAATTTAACCAAGTCAACATTTCTAAATTATCTAATAATGTTTTGAAACAGGGGCCTTCGTTGACCTGCCAATTATTATGATAGAGGTGGATAATGTTGATGATCATATCAACGAAACTGAGTCCTCCACCTCAGAAATATCCTCAGAATCGTCTCCAGCTTCAAGCATTTCTCCAACATCAAGTTCTCTGGAAACAAGACGAGTAGTAGAGGAGAGTAAAGTGGCAAATGTATCTCCAGAAGTTATTAAAGTTCCAGGAGCCAACAGTTCTTTTATGTTTCAGCAGTTTCAGCATGGAAGAAGAACATGAAGGTAAACCCTTAAATTAAATTCCAATAATTGTACGTTTATTAAGATTAAAGGTTGACAAATTGGTTATGTTAAAATTATGCCAAATGCATATCGAATAATAGGTCATTTTGAAAAGATTAAAGTTATAATGTTTGTATTTCTTTATTAAACATTGAGCTTAACTGAGGAGAAACCATGAAAACTGCAACTGAACTCTGTCTTTTTTTTAAACCAGTAGGTTGGTTGAACCAAAACAATAGGTTGGTTGAATTAAAACGATAGGTAGGTTTTACCAAAACAATAGGTTGGTTAAACTAAAACTATAGGTTGATTGAACCAAAACAATAGTGGTCAATTTCTTATTCATTTAACCATAGGTACAACTATAGGTCGTATCTATCTATCTATCTAGACTGCTCTGGTAAAGCGTAACCATAGTGTGACTATGGTTCGTACCTATGGTAGAGCGTCTAAGAAATTGGCCATAGGTCGGTTGCATCAAAACAATAGGTTGGTTGAATCAAAACATTGGTGAACAAAATGCCATTTACCATTTCTACCCAAAAATATTCCTACCTGTTATAAATATAAAATTTTGTTAATTTTAGAAAGAAATTTTTATTTGAATCATCAATCGTTGTTAACAGTCGTAGTCGTATATATACATATATCAAATACAATAAAGACGACCTTCGATTTTCATATTTTGATTTTTACCAAGCTTTCAAACAGCGTGGATACACATAAATATGGAAACAAATAGAAGCTGTCAATTAACAACTTATCTTTGATTTTTTGCCGACTTGTAATTGAAAAAAGCTTGTTAGAAGTCAAAACTTAAATAGAAAAGTCGTCTTCATTGTATTGATATAAACCCCAACCACTGTACACTATTCAGCATTCAGTTCTTATAATTACTAATTTTAGGATTTGAACTGCAGCAGAAGTGCTTTGAATTGAAAACATATTTACATGTAATTTGAAAAAGCACTAAATAAAACTGTGATAAAAAGTTGATTTGTATACTAATGAATCCTTTATTATGATGAATAAATAATAACAGTAATATACTCGAATGTATAGGGAATAAATGAAAACTTAATTTACTCCAATTATATAAAGAATAAATAAAAACAATAGTTTACTCGAACGTATAGAGTGTGAATAAATTCAGTAATTTACTCGAACGTATAGAGAATAAATGAAAACAGTAATTTACTCGAACGTATAGAGAACAAATAAAAACAATTTACTCGAATACTATCAATAAAAACAATAATTTATTCAAACCTATAGAGAATAAATGAAAACAGTAATTTACTCGAACGTATAGGGAATAAATTAAAAAAGTAATTTACTCTAACGCATAGAGAATAAATGAATTCAGTAATTTACTCGAACGTGTATAGAGAATGAATAAAAACAGTAATTTACTCGAACATATAGAGAATAAATAAAACAGTAGTTTACTCAAATACATAAAGAATAAATATTTTCCTTGAATAAACTGCTACATCGGCTTTGGTAAGCTTCTTTTTAAACTTGTTTACAATTGTATCTCTCTCCTTCCATCTCCCAGGGGTCCACCTTACCACTAGATAATTTAAATATTACAATTGTATCTTTCTCCTTCCATCTACCAGGGGTCCACCTTACCACTAGATATATAATTTAAATATTACAATTGTATCTCTCTCCTTCCATCTACCAGGGGTCCACATTACCACTAGATAATTTAAATATTACAATTGCATCTCTCTCCTTCCATCTTCCAGGGGTCCACCTTACCACTAGATAATTTAAATATTACAATTGCATCTCTCTCGTTCCATCTCCCAGAGGTCCACCTTACCACTAGATAATTTAAATATTACAATTGTATCTCTTTCCTTCCATCTCCCAGTGGTCCACCTTACCACTAGATAATTTAAATATTACAATTTTAAAGAGAAAAAAGAAAGAAAAAAGCAAGGGCGTATAATAAGGTTGGTTACTCTGGATACGCTCCAATGTACGAAAAATATCGTCTCCTTAGCATAGATAAATAGAATCCGCATACGACGTCACTCTTGCCCCAATGATCTGCAAAATAAGCAACCTTTTATACAGTTGGAAAAAATATATTACAGCCTAAAGTAATCTATTATTTTTCGACACATTCGTATATAGTTCAATATTTCGTAATATTTTTAATTCGTTTTTTATGCGTCGAAAAATAATCGTTGACTTTTATCTGAATGATTTGTTTGAAATTAAATTGATTATTTTACAATATGAGTCGTATGTTGCAACTTTCTGAATTTGTATGGACGCTACGTTCTTCAGTGTATGTCGTTTTTAATTATTTTTTTCCTTTTAGACGCAACAGATAGAAGTAAGATTAGCAGCGATCAAAAGCGATTATTTTTTTCGCAGTAAGCCTATACCCCCTTTCATTTTTTGCGAACACTCCCTTTAAGTCGTTATCTAACACATAAATTGCCTATTCTCTTGCTATAGTATAAAATAAAAAGAAATTAAACAAATGAAGTAAATTGCATTGTATTACTTTTTCTCTTTTTTTGTTGTTAAATGAAACAGATTCTTAAAATGAAATTTTATATAGTTACATTTTCTATAATTACATCTTATATAGTTAAATATCTATAATTACATTTGATTTAGTTACACTTTCTATAATTACATCTCATATAGGTAAATATATATAATTACATTTCTATTAGTTACACTTTCTATCATTACATCTAATATAGTTAACTTTCTATAAATACATTTCATATAGTTAGACTTTCTTTAATTAAATTTCATCTTTCTATAATTACGTCTCATAAAGTTACGCTTTCTATAATTATATCTTATATATTTACACTTCCTACAACTACATAATTACACTTTCTATAATTACATTTCATGTAGTTACATATTCTATAATTACATTTTATACATTTTCACTTCTAACAATTAAATCTCATATAGTTACACTTTCTTTAATTACATCTCATATAGTTACACTTTGTACAATTACATTTCATATAGTTATAGTTTCTATAATTACATTTCATAAAGTTATAGTTTCTATAATTACATTTCATGTAGTTATAGTTTCTATAATTACATTTCATAAAGTTATAGTTTCTATAATTACATTTCATAAAGTTATAGTTTCTATAATTACATTTCATGTAGTTATAGTTTCTATAATTACATTTTATAAAGTTATAATTTCCATAAGGTTACATTTCCGATAAAACATTTGCTATAAATTACAAAATAAATCTTAGAGCCGCAATAAGACATAAGATACAATTAGGGTGACTCGCAAAAATTCTCCCAAATAGCGTTCGGCCCAGAAATTAAAATCTAATTATAAAACTGACCTGCTCCGTCCTGTCCAACAAGAATATGCAGCTGCTTTGTAGCTCCTAGACCCATTACTTGACTTATCTTGGAGTCAAGATTAATCCTAGTTGGCGCCCTGGAAACAAAATAAGATAAAATATCAGCGCAGAGATTTTAGGAAATTCCTGAATCCAGTTTTTCTTAAAGTTTTTCAAGAGGATTGGGAAAATTGAGCATTTTTAACCCGTCATTTATTGTTTGCACCAATTTTAGTGGTTGATATGGATCAAATTCCGTTTACATTTACATCTTTGAATCCAAGCCTAACCTGACACAAGATTTTTTTGTCTCAATATAACTTAAAAACGGCTTGCACTAGAACGATCAAACTTAAAAAATTAATAACAGCAAATAACTTAAATAACAAAGCTACAGATCTAAAATTGATTTATTTTAAAAACCCTTGAAACTGGATGATGTAACATTTGTCACGAAATTCATGAACGATCTCTTTATTACGATACTTCAGTATATTTGATGTTGTTAAGAAGCAAATTGTTTTAAAGCACACTTACTAAATCACTGATCTAATGGGACAGTTTCACCTGCACAGTTGTTGCTGCTCAATGGAGTTTTTAAAGTTATAATTTGATTATAAAAATCGCAATCCTATTTCCGAGTTTTCTGGTTATGACTGTATACCTTGAATTATCCTCTCCGATACTCCATATTTCTCCTGATCCAGTTAAAACTAAAAAAGAAAAAATCTCTTCAACATCTTGGATGGGCATTTGAGTTGAGATCACATTGTACGCAGGCAGTGCACAGTGTAATTTTCAGCTGATCAAATAAGCTAATTTAGATACGTTTACACACATACATATGTACTTGACTAACATAAACAGGTTTTAAGGGTAGCGTTGTAAATGAGACATTTCACTCTTTGTATTGAGGGTCACTTGAAATTACGCTTACAGTCCCTTTAAGTGTTGCATACAATTTTTAAAGTGCACTGTTTGTTAGCGTTAGCCTGCAATATTCACTTTATCAAGTTTTCTAATGAGCAATATTTATTATGTACACTTTGATATAGCTTGAAAGTTTGCTACCAAAGTTTGCTAGGGTACAGTTAATAAGGGATGTGTTTGCTAGCGTACAGTTTATAAGGGATGTGTTTGCTAGGGTACAGTTAATTAGAGATGTGTTTGCTAGGGTACAGTTTATAAGGGAGGTGTTTGCTAAGGTACAGTTAATAAGAGATGTGTTTGCTAGCGTACAGTTTATAAGGGAGGTATTTGCTAGCGTACAGTTTATAAGGGAGGTATTTGCTAGCGTACAGTTTATAAGGGAGGTATTTGCTAGCGTACAGTTTATAAGGGAGGTGTTTGCTAGCATACAGTTTATAAGCGATGTGTTTGATAGCATACAGTTTATAAGCGATGTGTTTGCTAGCATACAGTTTATAAGCGATGTGTTTGCTAGCGTACAGTTTATAAGGGATGTGTTTGCTAGCGTGCAGATTATAAGGGAGGTGTTTGCTAGCGTAAAGATGATATGGGAGGTGTTGGCTAGCGTACAGTTTATAAGAGATGTGTTTGCTAGTGTACAGCTTGCATGCGTACGGTTTATAAGGGAGGTGTTTGCTAGCGTACAGCTTGCTTGCGTACACTGCCAAAGTAAATATTGCCACAAATAGTTTATTAGATCGTACAGTTAAGAAAAAATAATTAATTTTTTAATACCTAAAGTGCAATATTTGGAAATTGCAATCTGTTTGATATCTCCCACGTGGTCTAAAACCGGTTTGAACTGATAAGATTTTTCTACTGGTTTATCTAAATCAAGGAACAGACGGTTGTTGGTATTATCTCCCATGGCCAGTATCCTAACAGGAAACAAAAATGGCATCATCGTGCGAAAAATTAGTTTCTTTGTTAGTTAATCTACAAATTTTGATGGAAAAGTTTGAATGATTGATTTTGATTAATTTGCAAGTTGTAAAAATGGAATTTCTTTTAAATAAAAAAATTCCCATTTGAAATAACAAAAGTAAATAGTTTTCTATAACCTTCAAATCTTCACGTTGGTTTATTATTTTATCTATTTTACCTAGGGATGTAACCTTACATCCGGGCAAATATAGTAATTTAAATGAATCCAAGGTAACTATACCTTCCGTCCTTTGAGATGAGGATAGTTGCTCTATGAGCGCAGATTACTTTATCTATGTCGAGCTCAGTTTCTACTGCTACAGGCAGGTTTTTTATCTTGCTGAACAATATCAAATTTTATCTTAGAAATGCAATTATTTTTATAGTTTGGAATTTATTGGAGAAAAAAAAACAGCTGTAGCGGTTTAACTAGCGGTTGAAAGTTAAGCAGAGCATATGAAAAATAGACTAGGAAACGAAAATGATTTTTAAAAATACATTTTATTTTTTCAACTATTGAGTTCACAAATATTTTATCAAATTACTTTTTTTTCAACCGCTAGAACTACAAAATTGTGTAAAACCCTTTTGCCGTCAACCGCTGGAGATGAAAGTTTTTGTTTATAACAACGTTAAAAATTAGACATTTTTTGTCTTCAACCGCTGCTAATACACATTTTAATGGCAAACAAATTCATGCTAAACGTGAAACCCAGGGGTTTAGGGCGAAAATATTCAACTTAAAATAATAATTCAGACTTTGAATAAAATTTTATCGGGGAAAAAAATTGCATTTTTCTTATTCTGAACTAGGTCGTATAGTCTTAGACAGATCTCAACCGCTCTTTCAACCGCTACAGGAGTTTTTTCTTCAAAGTAAATATCATTGTTTTGAATTGAAGTTTTGAAGCAATAGTTTGCAACTATAGACCACAGTGAAAACTCTTGTGTTAGGCCTTTTTAAGTTACAATTAACTTTTTCCCTCGGGATTATTTAGTAAAATAACATTCCGCTCAGAACAAACTTTGAGTTTTAAAATATATTTAATTTATCAGATTCAAAGGAACTGCAGTAGACGTAATTTATCTATTCACAAAGTGGCATGCCCGATTCTCAATGATTCCCTTGAACCCTTTGTGATGATGGAGTTTATCCTGTTTTCGTTTCTAAAAATTGATTATTTTCCATTATGATTCTCATGAATTTAAATGATTTTATTTATTCATGCTGCTAAAGCTTCATGTTTTAAATCAATAGTATTTATAGAGGAAAACGGTGATATCTTTATTGGTCATTGTTAGTAAGAAGGAAGTTGTGAATTGGAAAGTAAATAGTTTTTGCTATAAACTCTAATTTTTTAATCCATAGATCTTGCAATCTGATGTCGTAGACCTTTAATTATAAACTCCGTTGGATAACTAGTCTAAGTTTAAATATCGAAGGTTTACATCATCAGGTTGCAAAGATATAGGGATTAGCAAATAAGAGTTTGTGGCAAAAAATCAGTTCCTTTAAAATGGAGAGTTACTTGAAATTACGCCTTCGGTCCCTTTAGGGCTTAAGGTGCCAATTTAAGGCAAAAAAAGTACTTAAAATATTATTC